GGCCAAGTGAATTGCTTTAAGCCATTTCCCTAGTTAGAAGGGAACAATAGTTACGTGGCTTTGTTGCTCCCGAGTTCTCCTGGGCAGGTTCACGACTAAATCAAGACGTCTCTTTCTAGGGCTTCCAAATGTTACTTCAAAACATTACGGTCCTCCCCCTTCCCCAGTGTCGTTGTCGTTGTAGAGACAGTAGGATGATCAGACACCATTTTAACTGTGCAAGGCAAAACTCTTCATTTCCTCCCCTTTAGCTACACAAATTTCATTGCACGGCTCAGTCTTATTCTCACCTTCTTGGAAGTTGCAGAAAATACGTCTTTTCTAAAGGACTTATGGCTAAGCGGGCAAGAGGAATGCTCTTTATTTAGGTACTGGCCATTTCTCCTCCGACGCCCCAGGGCAGCATGCGGCAAACTCTTCTAATTTCAACTTAACACATACACACAGATGCACACATTCACTCTCATACACACACTCACCTCCACCCGCATGCACGCGCACACGCACACACACACACCCGGACTTTATTCACTGCATGTCACAGCGCTAGCACACCCTCCCCCCACCGCATGCACGCGCACTCACAATGCACACTCACAAAGACACACGCACACACCCGGACTTTATTCGTGGTGAGTTACAGCGCTAGTACTCGCACCCGCAGACACACAATCCTGCATGCACGAGCACACAAAGACACGCTCACACACACACCCACGGTGGGTTATAGCGCCGGCACACACTCCCCCGTACACCCGCATGCATACACGCACGCATGCACACACACTCACACATGCACGCGCGCACACCCGGACTTTATTTACTGCGCTGGCCAGCCTGGTAGGAGGGGCCATGGACCACTAACCCCCGACCACTATTTCTAGTCCCCGCGCTCCTGTCTACTGCGCAATCCTCCACTAGCCGGAGGAGAGAGGGGCGGGAGCTCGGGGCCCCCGAGGAGCCCGGGCTGAGGACCCGGGGTCATCTCCGCAGCTGGGAGCAGCCCTGCCTCAACCCGACCTCCGAAGCACCGGGTTGCTTCGCAGGAGCAGGGGGCGGAGCCTGGCCGAGAAGGGGCGGAGCCTCAGCACGCGCACCCCGCCTCCTTTCTCCAGCGCCGCCGGCTCTCAGACCAGCCACCAATTCAGGCTTTATTTGTTTACAAGAGGGTGACGTCAGCTCCTCCTCCTGCTCCTCCCCCTCTATTCCCCGCCTCTCGTCCCCGCCCCTTTCCCCCCTCCCTCTCCGAACCTGCTTCCGTCACAATGGTGCGATCGCCGGATTGGCAGGCGGCCCCCTCCCCTCCCGGCGACGCCACTTCCGTTCCGTGGCCCTATAAGAAGGGGCGCCCGGCGGTCGCCTCTCTTCGCCCGTCGGAGCTGGAAATGCAGGTGTTGGGATCTGCCGTCGCTGCGGAGCAGGAGGCGGAGGCGGCCGAGGAGGCTCGAGCGATGTGAACAGGCCTTCGCCGCTCTCCTCCTCCCTCCTCCTCTTCCTCCCTTCCCTCCTCTCCTGCCGCCCCCTTAAAAAAAATAACTTTTTTTTAATTTACAAAAAAAAAGGAAAAAAAAAGTCGGCGTCCGGGCCGGGACCGCGGAGCCCCCCGCCCGCCGCCGCTCCCCCGCCTCGCCCCGGCGCTGGCTGGCCGGCCCCCGCCCGCCGCCCCCATGCATCCCTTCTACAGCCGGGCCGCCACCATGATCCGCGAGATCGCCGCCGCCGTGGCCTTCATCTCCAAGTTTCTCCGCACCAAGGGGCTCACGAGCGAGCGGCAGCTGCAGACCTTCAGCCAGAGCCTGCAGGAGCTGCTGGCAGGTGAGCGGCCGTTGGGGGCGGGGGGCGCGGGCGCCGCTGGGGACCCTCCCATTCCCCACCCCGCCGCGGGGCAGTTGGTAACGGAACATGGGGGGGAGCCCCCCGGGCCGGGGAGGGGTCCTTGGGGAGGGAGAGCCCCCAGGACAAAAGGGGTCTTTGGAGACGGCGAGCCCCCTGCAGCTGAGGGCTTCGGGAAGGGAGGTACCTCGGGGCTTTAGGTCTTTAGGACGCTCGGGGACAAAAGGGGTCTTTGGGGAGGGGGCCCCCACTAGGGCGGGCTCGAGGGAGAGAGGTGGGGGGAGGGAGTCTCCTGGGCGCGCAGAGATCGTTTCTGCCCCTCCCCCTCGTCCTGACCGATAACGGTGGGTCCCTCCCCCCCCACTCAACCCACCTCCCCAGGGTGCCCCCCATCTCCCTGCTCCTCTCCTTCCTTAAAGCTTCAGTGGTTCTCCCAATTTTGTTCCTTTTGGTTGAAAAAAGGGGGCGAAACTAAGAATAAAGGATTCCTCGTGCAAAGGAGTAGCGTCCACCCCTTGCCCCCCCATCTCTTTGTATAGGGGGTGTGTGTGTGTGTGTAGCGGGGGGAACACAAAGGAGTCCTTCTCTTTGGTTTCTGAGCCACTTACTGCCCGCCTCCCCCCCCCAAAAAAAACCGTTGTTGTTGCCTGGCTGGCAGGGGTTCCTTATCCGGGGTGCTGCTTGCTTCTGATGCCACCCTCAAATCCTTGTATGTGGTTACCCACACCACCTTAGATATTAAAAGAGAAATTGGGCTAAATTGGCTGTAATCCCGAGGCGTTTTTGTTGGTGTTTTTGCCTTGCTCTGTTCTCTGTTAATCCTGTGGTGTGCGCCTCCTTCTAGAGCCATAAACCCTATTGTGTGTGTAATTTGGGGTGGGGTGGGGAAAGTAAACATCGCAGGGGTGGGGTAGGAGGAAGTAAGCCTGGCTCTGGGGTTGGAGTTGAGGCTGGTGGGGGGGGGATTCCTTGTGGAGCCAGCTTTGTGTCCCACACTGGACCCAAGTGCCCCGTTCCCCGTAGCTTAATTCATTTGGTTATTCTCTGTTGAAGTGATCTTAAGCCTGGTAATTCTCAAACTTATTCTTTTCAGTGTCTTTCCTGAAATAGGCACAGCTCTGGAGGAGTGAACAGAAGAGACACGGAGCCCAGTGCAGAAGTAGCGTCCATCCCGAGTTAATTATAACATCTAAGCATGGTCTCTCTCTATTCTTGCTTTCTTTTGTAGAACATTACAAACATCACTGGTTCCCAGAAAAACCCTGCAAGGGATCAGGTTACCGTTGTATTCGCATCAACCATAAAATGGATCCTCTGATCGGACAGGCCGCACAGCGGATTGGACTGAGCAGTCAGGAGCTGTTCCGGCTTCTTCCAAGCGAACTCACACTCTGGGTGGACCCTTACGAAGTGTCTTACCGTATTGGAGAGGATGGCTCGATCTGTGTGTTGTACGAAGCCTCGCCAGCAGGAGGTAGCACTCAGAATAGCAGCAACGTGCAAATGGTAGACAGCCGAATCAGCTGTAAGGAGGAACTTCTCTTGGGCAGAACAAGCCCTTCCAAAAACTACAATATGATGACTGTATCAGGTTAAGATATAGTCTGTGGATGGATCATCTTATAATGGATGGATAAATTTGATTTTTGCTTTGGGTGGGCTCCTCTTGGGGATGGATTATGGAATTTAAACCATGTCACAGCTGTGAAGATCTGGCACAAGATAGAGTGGTAAATTTTTTTAAGTGACAGTGCCATAGTTTGGACAGTACCTTTCAATGATTTAATAGCCTGTGAGTCCAAGTCAATGATCACTTTCTTTGCTAGGGAGTGAGGTCCTAAGGTGGTTTTGGTTTCTCCCAGATATTTTACTTAATTTCTACATCATTCCCTTCAACCCAAATCTGTATTTATAAAGAATCTTTCTCTGCAGTAGATCTTGCAGAGTACATTTGCACTATTACATTTATAAATTGTTCTAGTTAACCCTTTTGGCAGCTCAGTAGCAAAGCTGAATGTTTTAAACATGGTAGTACTGGAAATTGTATGACAGACTTTTACCTAGCACTTACTTCACAGTATGTATAAATGTACATAAGACAATAAACTAGAGTAAGCATGACCTGGGAAAATGGTCAGACCTTGTATTGTGTTTTTGGCCTTGGAAGTAGCAAGTGACCAGAATCTGCCATGGCAACAGGCTTTAAAAAGACCTTATAAAGACACTGTCTGAACTGTGGTGTTAGCACCAGCCAGCTCTCTGTACATTTGCTAGCTTGTAGTTTTCTAAGACTAAGTAAACTTCTTATTTTTAGAAAGTGGAGGTCTGGTTTGTAATTTTCCTTGTACTTAATTGGGTAAAAGTCTTTTCCACAAACCACCATCTATTTTGTGAACTTTGTTAGTCATCTTTTATTTGGTAAATTATGAACTGGTGTAAATTTGTACAGTTCATGTATATTGATTGTGGCAAAGTTGTACAGATTTCTATATTTTGGATGAGAAATTTTTCTTCTCTCTATAATAAATTGTTTCCTATCTTGGCATTTTAATTAATCTCTTGTCATGATTACGTAGGAACAGCTAAACTTTCTCACACTGATGTTAGACTATTAAAAGACTATGTGGCACACAAGTCATGCTGGGAAATATTTGATAAAGACATGGATTAATGAAGACCACTGGGGTAGGAATATTTGGGAAGTCTAAGGAAAACACGGTGGTGTTAACATGTTTTATTTATTAAACTCTAGAATCAGTCATAACATGGAAACTTAACTCAAGGGCTAGTAATTCCACAAGATGAGAATGAGGGAAGGAAGTAAATGTGCTACCAAAGATGACTCCTAATAAACCCAGAGGATTAAATTTCAATGATTTTCCTGTCAAAGTGAAGACATAACTGTAAATGTCCATTCTGGCCCACCTTTGAAAAGCTCACAGTTTTGTCCCTGATGGATTGCCTTGCTCACTTAGAAAATCCTGGGACCAGTGTCCCATAGTCTTAATGAGCAGACTAATCACTCTACAGAAAGATTGGTTGCTTTTCACTTCATCAGCCTCAAGACAGTTAAAAAAAAACAAAAACACTTAAGCTGGAATTCGACAAAAGGTATGTTTCTAAATTTTTAAATTTCTCCCAAAATGAAATATTGTCTACATAATAGATGACTCCATTTTCAGACTTTATTTCAGATGATTTTCTATGGATTTTGACCATTTAGACTGCAGATGGTGGAGTTTGTTCCACTAACCTACAAAATAAAGTAATTCTGTGATTTCAGTAGAACAAAAGCACCTTTTAAGGGAAAAGGACTGATAAGTTTCACAGTAAAATGCCAAAGATGAATTTGATCACCATATACTTGGATAGGTCTAACATTTCCAATAGAAATATTTACAAATGTTCATAAAAAAACACATCTTAAACATTGGGTCACCTTAGAATTTTTTTCTCTTAAAAGTAAGTAAGTCACAACTTGGAGGCATTGCTGTTACCCAAGTCAGACCTGGAAGACGGTGGTGGAGAATTATGTAGTTGCAGATAGTATGCAAGGTTATTCAGTCATGCACGTGTTCTGAATCCAAATAATCTTCTTCTGCTAATCTGTCAAGCTTTAGTTTGAATTGCTTTAACTACAAAGTGAAGTTTTAATGTGCTTTGGTGTGCTTTGGTGAACTTTGGACTTCTGATCAATAGGGAATTATCAGTTCCTTCCCCACCAGCTGCTTTCTTCAAACATGAGCTATACAGGGTGAAATTTGACTAAACCTCCTTGGTTTGTATACTAGTCCCAATACCATGTTAACTTTCCTGCTTATTTATATGTTAAGAAGCTAGCTAACTTTGTCATTTATAGTCAAGTTTAGATGAGAGAGCATAACCTAACTGGTGTGAAATGCCTTTCAAACTTAAAAATCTAGGAGCCTGATTTTTTTCATTGACACAGAGTTGTTTACATGAGTTAACCCAGAACAAGTTTTTAAAACTTTAGGTGTTTTCTCTTAATTGGGTGTCATTTGAAGATCCCAAAACCAGTCTTTTGCGATCTAAAATTTGTCAGGACTTAACTTTTTTTTTTTTTAATAGAATCAACTACATAAGCACAACCAGAATAGATTACTCTAAACAAGTTTAACCCTGTTTGGTCGAATGGCCTGTACCTGTTTGCAGTGATAGCTGTCCATTCCTCAAACAGCAGGCAAGCAGATAGAGGCGTTGGTAGATGGGTGATGATCGTCTGCCACATCTTGTTTCTTCTTTGTGGTGAATGTTACTCCTGAACAGTTGATGGAGCTTTTGTGTGTACAGATGTGCTGGGCTTATATAGCACCTCCTAACACTAACCTAGTTAAAGACCAAACCATAAACAAAGCTTAAGAACAACTCAAGTTTGACATAAGAATGATAACTTAGCTTACTAATGGTTTAATATATAAGGTATTAGTTAAAGCTGGTTGTAAGTAACTTTACAAGTTACTGCTTATAAAGACATTTCCTTTGCCTCCAAATGCTAAGAAGTAAGGCCTTTATTTTTCTTCTGTATGGTACCAGAGCAGAACTGGAGTAAATCATAGTTTAAAAAAAAAAATCCTGTGGTAAATTACCAAACCACTAAGTTTCTCCCTTTGCTGTATTTACACAGAAAATACAATTTGGCCATGACTTGAAACTTTTCCAGTACTAGGCTGGACAGAACACATGCATTCTATTGAGTTGTGCAGATAGTTTCCTCAGATACTACAATCTCAGTAAATTGTAAGCAACTGAAGAATTGAGTGGATGTGAGTATTTCAGTTAATGACATGGACCTTCACCAATCAAACACTGTCCCTGATGTCTTGGAAGGGTCATCTCTGATTTTAACTTGACTAAAGTTGACATTGACAAAATTATTTTCGATTTTAACTTAACTAAAGTTGACATTAACCTGACGAAGTTAACATTGACAAATGTTTCTAAGGCTTGTCTTTTTCAGAGGTGTTTACAAATGCCCCTGACCTTTGATCCTTCCCACTGGTTTTCTTAATTCAGGGCAGGGACGTAATGTAGCTGATGGCTATGATGGTGCCCGTAGAAACTGACTAGTTTTCTCTCTGCTTCACTGACCTCCACCTCTACTTAGGTCAGCTGGCTTCTGGAGCACTAAGAGGGAAAGTGATTGGTAGGCGGGATCTACAGCTTGCATCTTTTTACATTTTAGAGAAACAGGCAGATTTCTCATAGATCCTAAAATAACCAGTCTGCAAATGTCAACTCTTCCTTAACCACCAGATCCCTCAAGTTCAGTACACAAAATTGTAGATTTAAAACAAAAGGCACTTACCAGATACAGGAAGGTAACCCAAAGTCAGTGGTAGTAGCAACAGAAGAAAATCCAGTGCTGTCTACCATGCTGTAGACTTCTTTTTTCCATGTTGAAAATAACATCATGGTGGGGGAGGTGCTATTGCTCAAAACCTTTTGTGTATGTATTTGAGGAAGATAACTTCTCCAGGCTCAATGTTTCCTTTTGGGCTTTAGACCACCTTGTTTTACCTTCTGAATTTGAGCAAGCTGACTGCAAATAAAAGACTAAAGAGGAATGAGTTAATAGGAATTTAGGTCACCCACCTTTTCACTTCTGCCAAGCATGGTGGCATAAAATGAACATTTATGGGAATAAAAAGTTAGTTTGGTAGCTTTCAGATACCTAATTTTTGACTGCTGGAAGTCATTCTTAGTAAATGCTTTATAAATGGGACTGATTTAATTTTCCTGAACAGACTCTGTAGGAGGTATAATTAACATCAGTTACTTTGACAATATATTTTAATTTGTCTTTCTAAGTGTTTTGGGGCTACTTTCTTAACTCTGGGATGAAGAGTTACCTAATATGGGAATAGTAAAGGCTGGAATGCTTTTCTTCTGTAAGTATTTTCTAAGTAATATTGTTCCACCTCAAATATTTTGGAGTTTAATACACCAAAAAGGACTCACTTCAGTGCTCCAATTTCTTGATCAACCTCTTTGCTTTTTTAATTGTAAGCTTTTTGTGAAATACCACTGTTATAATTGGAAGAGACTGGAGCTTTTGAATAAGCAAAGCTTCTGTTTTCCTGGGCACAGAAGGATGCTCAGAGCCAGAAGAAGCTGCCAAGAGAGTGGTTGGAGACTGAGGTGGAAATAGAAAGGAAAAGAATAGGGAAAAATATCTCAATGGGAGAGAAGCAAGAAAGAGGTGAGGCTGCAGGTATCATGGAAGATGAAGAAGGGGAAAAAAAGGTGGTGGTAGGGCAGAGGAGGGGTAGAGATAGATTGAGAACATTGAAATGGGGTTCTGCCAACAAAAATTCCTTGGCAGGAAGTTTGGGAATCACTTCTAGGATGGAGCCCTTTGTATATTTACATTAATTAACTTCATGAATCTGGGGCAAAACCTGTGCTGGATTTGTTTCTCCAGTGATTATATTGTGCAGGTTTATAACTTTAGAATTGGTCTGGGAGACAGGGACAGAAGACATGGACCCAAAGTAAAGATGTTAAAGGGAAGGAGTGTGGAATGTAGTCAATAGTACTTCCTTGTTATAAACTTAATTGACAAACTTACACCCTGGAGGAGCCATAAAGTCCATTTGGTCATTACTATTTTAAGTAGTGCTGTAGAAAGAAGCATAGTTAGTTGTCTGACAATTACCTAACATCACAACGTCACAATAAGGAACCATTATTAAACATGAAGGAGCAAGCCCTACCTGATTTAGTGGGTCGAAACATTGTCGTAGGTGAATGAGCAAGCGGAGGGTACTTCAGTACTTAGATTACCACTAATTATCTAATATTTAATTGCTATCATAGGTCTCTTGTATTTCTGACTTAATACAACTTTCCAAAGCAAAATGAAGTGCAAGTATATATGCATATATGTTTCATATTTATAAAACATAAGGTTTTTTTTTACAAATATTAAGCAATAACTGGTCAGGGATTGGATGAGAGCAGTTTATGATTTCTAGTATTTTTCCAAAACAATCAGCACCCTCCTCCTAAGGCAAGTGTTAACAACCAGAAGCTCTTGAAAAATGCAAATTGATTTCTTGTGACTGATCTTAACCTGTTTGCAGATGAGTCCTTCCTAGATTTTAAAAAAAAATCTAATAGTGATGACTAAGCCAGTTAATGAGTGTATAAGGTTGTAATTCTTTCTGGATCTTCTTGGCAAGGTCTTTTGTATTTTCTCAGACCAGGGGAGAGCATATAAAGCTTCTTAAATCATAAATGCCATACAAATGTAAGCTATGAAGGACTGCTTCTATTCGCTTTGGCCCCCTCCATTTACTCTAATCTACTTGTATAGAATTTACGATTAGTTTTTGTAACATCCACATATGTATCTAGTTGAGTTTTGATGTGACTAAATATGTTCCACATAGGAAGAAATGCGTATGACCTATGGTCATAGGTATAAAGCTGAAAGGGACTTCGGAGAGACCCTTCATTGTACAGTTGAAGAAGCTAAGGTCAAAAAGTGGGACTAAATAGCATTAGAATTTGAACCTAGGTCCTTGGACTGCGGAACTAGTACTTTTTCCAATGAGTGTGTATGTATGCTGGCAAACCTGCCCGCCTGCCTCCAAATTTCAAAGCTCTTTACTTGCTATTTTCCACTGGTTTATTAGCATTTGATTATTAAATATTACTTTCTGTAACATTTTTAAAGTAATTTAAGTACTTTTAAAATATTATTTTTATAAATGGCTACAAACTTGAGTCAGCATATGCACAGTTCAACAATCAAAAGATTTTAGTGATGAATTATAATTAGACCAGGAGGTATCACCCAGATGCTTTGGTTTTAATCTTAGCTTATAAAGTCCCCATGAGAAGGGGGGATAAATTGTAATGAGCCTGGGTCAGGTTTATACTTCAGTTCGGAAGGATGTGAATGAAGGCTGTGTAAATTACAGCCAAGTTATTCACTAGTTCTACTTTGTTGCAAATTACGTTATCAGTACCTTGAATCTCTAACTTCGGGTTACTATTAGCTATCAGACTCTCCATTACGAAGGTTTCGCCTCCTTCCCGTTTCATCCCAGGCACACACTCAAAGCTATGTATTACCTTGATGATTAAAAAAGGTTCAAGAGACATAGTTTCTGGATGATTTCATCATTTTGGTAATGAGGCCAGCAGGTCATTTGGCTGTCTCTTCTAGACCATAGACAATCATGGCAGCGGGCTCACAGTTTATATACCCTTTGAAAATCATTTCTCACATTATATTTACTGTTGATCTCTCTATATTAGAGGTCATGTAGTCCCAACACCCTCGTTTTACAGAGTAGGAAACTGAGGCCAATAGAAGTGATACACAGCTATAATAAGTCAACAGCCAGGGTTGGAAGCTAGATATTGGATTCCAGATTCAGCCCTCTTTGCACCATTATCATGCACACAGAGCCCAGTTGTTTGGTCTTGAGCTGCTTTCTAAAAACAGTAAGATACCCGAGGACTTGGGCTCCTGCCCTTAGCAGGTGATTACAAGTCAGTGACTCTTCATTATTGAAGTAAATAAACGCAGTCCCTTAGCAAATCCCTGGATGATGACTTCACAGGGACTGTGCTAACAGTTTAATGAGCCTGAAACCCCTTCTCTCTGTTAGAAATGAATATAAAAGCCCTGTTTTAGATGTCTTTTCTACAGTGAGACTGTGTTTGTGAGAGGGAACATGGCTGAGTAGAATGTAGTCCAAACTGGATTCAAGCCAGTCTCTTAACACATACTAGCTGTGTGTGTCATGAACAAGTCACTAACTTGCCAGCCAAACTCTTAACCTAACGGGAGCTCTCAGACACTAATGAAATCTGCAGATCCAGATCAACTCTTAAGTGTGCAAATGCTTGGGTACCCATTTGGAGATGATGCGGCAAGGAGAATTGACTACTGGTCACTTTCTGTTAGGAGATCAGACTTGCTTTTTCCTGACCTTATAGAGCTGAGCTGACTTTTCCCTTACTTAAACCAAGGTCCTTCACAGATATTGCTTCCAGAGTCTTTGTCTCAGTGAGAAGATGCCATTTAATTCAGTGCCTAGAATGAAGAAATCTTTAAATTGAGAAGGTGATGCACATTCAACTTTTGTTCCAACATAAACTGGTGACTTCACCCTGGGTCCCTCAGCTTCCATCAAGCTCATGTTTAGTGGGTAGAATTTTCAGCACACAGTAACTCTGTAAAGGTTTTTCAAACAGTGCAGCAGAACTGAGTCGTTAGTTATATGATCTCAAAATCTGGAGTGATCTAGCTGCTTTTCATTGTGGCAGAGAAAGAGCTCTTTCCTTCCCT